TTTCACAATTCACCTGATTTTCAAGCCAGGAGGGTGTCTGGTTCTGGTGGGAATGGGCAGAGGGAAACTGGTTGCAGGCTGCCGAGAGAGCTATTAGAGTCCTCCATAGATTGGAGGCACGTTTTCGTCCTTCGGAGAGCTCTGTGCTGTCATCTTGGCTGCAGTCCTGGGATGAGGGTTTCAGGGTAGAAACCAGCTTTACTTTCGTTTTGCCTGGCTGCCCCATGTTACGAGGGGGATCTCACCACCTCGGAAATGCAGAGGAAGATTCATATGTACAGCTCAGGAGAGATTGCCATAAATGCCCCGGATGTGCAGAGCTGGGCTAGAGTGCAGCCATTCAGGTCATCTGTGCGCATGCGCTCCCCATTTGAATACCTTTTTAGTACCATCATAGTAGCTTAATTATGTACAGTCTCGAGGACAGGAGAGAAAGGATGGACATGACTAGTTTTTACAAGCACTTGAAGGTAGTGGAGGTTTAGGAGGACAATCCATGAAGGTCAGCATGTCACATAGACTGTAGAAGTTGCAGGAGCACAGACTGTCTCTGATCTGATATAGGTTGGAACAATATTTCCTTCCTCCATTTTTTGGTATAAATAACTATTTATATTTTTAGGGGCTTTGAGGGTCACATGAGGACATCAGTTGTACCAGTACTCAGGACAAGGATGTCACCATTTACTGCGATATATCTGGCCTAAATACCAGGGAGAGCCATTGCTGTACTATGGAAAAGGACATCAGAGAACGGCACTGACACACGATGTGTATGAATACAATGAAGGAAAAAGTGACTGTATTCAGATCAGGATGTTCCATGGAGAAGACGGAGATCCTGAAAGGAAACGCAGAGCTGCACATCCCCCAGGTCCAGTTCTCCGATGAGGGGGATTACACCTGTACAGTGATAAATACTCCGGAGAAAGAGGAGGGTAGAGTTACCCTACAGGTGTCAGGTGAGTGACAATGACATTGCCCCTCCCTTCCCCCATACTGAGTTATATGGCTCTGGGTTGATTTACTAAGAGAGCTGAGAGTGTTCTCTCAATAAACTGTAGCTGGGTTCACTTTGAATATCCAATCACACTCACCGGCCACTTTATTAGGTCCACCTTGCTAGTCTGGGTTGGACCCCCATTTGCCTTCAGAACTGCCTTCATTCTTCATGGAATAGATTCAACAAGGTGTTGGAAACATTCCTCAGAGACTTTGCTCCATATTGACCTGAGTTACTGTTGCCTTTCTGTCATCTCCAACCAGTCTGCCCATTCTCCTCTGACCTCAACAAGGCATTTTCCTCCACACAACTGCTGCTCACTGGATATTTCCTTTTTTCGGACCATTCTCTGTAAACCCTAGAGATGGTTGTGCGGGAAAATCCCAGGAGATCAGCAGTTTTTGAAATACTCAGACCAGCCCGCCTGGCACCAACAACCACGTCACGTTCAAAGTCTTCTGCAAGATTCTCCTGTGCCTTCCGTCTGATCCGCCATTACAATGGATTCTTCTTGGTATTATCTGCAGATTAGAACACTAATGATTATTCTCTGTACAGTTCCTCCGTCGGCTTATTTGACACCAAACGATCTGACCATCGAGTCGGGGTCAGAGAAGACGGTGACGTGTGAAGTTCATACCTTTTACCCAAAAGATGTTTCCATACGCTGGGGTCAGTATCGTAAGGGATCATCTGACTGTGAGCTCCTAGAGATCTGGACCTGTGTGAAGAATGTGCTTACTAATTCAGACGGGACGTACAATGTGACAAGTCTACTGACCCTGAACCCCAAGAAAGAGGATGATGGGAACACCTATTCCTGTATTATCAGCCACCGATCTCTGCGGACTGAACTGTCCAGGAATCTCACCCTCACAGTGACAGGTCAGTAATATCTCTTATTATTTTACATACCGTAGACTTCTGAAGAACTAACTCTACCCGTCTGTCACAAAGCAGGTGAGATGTTTGGTTTGGATGAGGTTCCCAGACTCTAAGCACCAAGATTTGCCACCAATTCCCCTCCAGGAGACATCAATTCACTCACACTGGTGGCACAACCACACCTGCCAACTTTTTGAGATGGGAACAAGGGACACCTACTAGCAAAAGTGTGTAGGCATAGGACACCCCCCACCACACCCCCTTAACCACTTTCCTACAGGGCGCTTATACCCCCTTCCTGCCCAGGACGATTTTCAGCTTTCAGCGCTGTCACACTTTGAATGAGAATTGCGCGATCATGCAACACTGTACCCATATGACATTTTTATCATTTTTTTTCACACACATAGAGCTTTCTTTTGTTGGTATGTACTTCCCACTGGGGGTTTTATTTTTTCACTATAAACAAAAAAAAGCACAAAAAAAAAGTTTTTCTTTGTATCTATTATAAAATTTTGCAAACAGGTAATTTTTCTCCTTCACTGATCTGTGTTGATGAGGCTGCACTGATGGGCACTGATGAGGTGGCACAGATAGGCAGCACTGATAGGAGGCATTGATAGGCGGCACTGAGCTGGCACTGATGGGTGGCACTGAAGGGCACAGTTGGGTGGCGTTGCTGGGTGGCACTGCTGGGCACAGGTGGGTGGCACTGCTGGGTGGCATTGCCGGGCACTGCTGGGAACAGGTGGGTGGCATTGTTGTTGGGTACTGCTGGGGTGGCACTGCTGGGCACAGGTGGGTGGCACTGCTGGGTACTGCTGGGTGGCACTGCTGGGCACAGGTGGGTGGCACTGCTGGGTGGCATTGCCGGGCACTGCTGGGAACAGGTGGGTGGCATTGTTGGGTACTGCTGGGTGGCACTGCTGGGCACAGGTGGGTGGCACTGCTGGGTACTGCTGGGTGGCATTGCTGGGCACAGGTGGGTGGCACTGCTGGGTGGCATTGCTGGGTACTGCTGGGTGGCACTGCTGGGCACAGGTGGGTGGCATTGCTGGGTACTGCTGGGTGGCATTGCTGGGCACAGGTGGGTGGCATTGCTGGGTACTGCTGGGTGGCATTGCTGGGCACAGGTGGGTGGCACTGCCTGGTGGCATTGCTGGGCACAGGTGGGTGGCACTGCTGGGTGGCACAGCTGGGCACTGATGGGTACAGGTGGGTGGCACAGGTGGGCGGCACTGCTGGGCACTGATCAGCAGGCCCTCATCTCCTCTTCTGTCTGTAGACGTCCTGCAGCCTCTCACACATTTCCTCTCCTCATGGACAGAACATTCACTGACCCCTGATATCAAGTATTGGCCAGCTTCTCTTCCATAGTAGCAGCCAGTCACAGGCTTACATCTCTCCCTTCTGTCCTCAGACACTTCCTCACTTGCACAGGCAGGTTGGCAGCATTGGTGTCACTTCAGATGGTGTCAGCTCTCTCAACATCTTCAGGGACCTGCAGCTGATACAGAGCACCTTCAGACTCCTTCACAGTCCAGCAGGGCCCAGTATGAGGTGTCCTCATCACAGATCCAGGAAAGAGGAGTCCTCTCTGATACACTGAGCTGCCCAACATACATAGGAATTCACCTTACCCCCTTTTGGTCCACCTGCCAACACCAGTTTAGCCAAGAGATGTACTGCCTTCCTTTCAGAAACTTCCACCAATCAGTGATGGACCACAGAAGGTTTTTGGACCTCCCTAGACCTATCCTGTCTGAACAAACCAGAAGTCTTCATCCCTTCCTCTCTCTTGTAATCTGTTTTTTTCCCCCATCAACTTTATCTAAAGAAGAACTCCGACAACACCCCCTGCTATACGATAATGGAAACAAAGTGACAGGTCCTCATTATCAACATTTCAAGGGATCTGGGTAATTATGAGGTCCATCTTCTCCATCCTTTTCCCCAGGAATACCCTCTCTCTGGGGCATTGGAGTGTCCCTAGAAATGTGGGAGGCATCACTCCATTACTGGAAGCATCTCCTGGATGCATGGGCTATGGTGCTGTCACTTCTCTAATCCTCTAATATTTCTATGATCTGGAATTCATCCTCGTGTACCTGACGGAACTTCTACCCAAGGTCTGTCCTAATGTTCCTGACCAGATACACAGCATAGTCTATCTACTGAGAGTTCCCTCATCTGGGACATGGAGGAGCCGTTCTTCCCTCATATGCACCATACAATCGTCCTGTAGAGTGTCTGGCGAGGTTGGGTGGTCTGTGGTGATACCTCTCAGTTCGGATACAATCAGACGGAAATAATTGAGGTTTTCATCCTTGGAAAAGTTTCTGCTTCCAGATCATGTTTTGTCCTTTTATATTACAGAGAAACAAGATAACACATCGGAACCATTATCACGGCTGTGGTCCTGACACTTCTGTGCACATTACTTCTGGGACTTTTGGGTTTCCTCTACTTCAGATTTGTAAAGAAAGGTAAGGAATGTACGCGGTTACTTCACCATCCAGATTCTGGTTGCCGTGTTGTACTGTCTGTGCTGGGATTGTTCCAGGACATAAGAACTCAGCTGATTGTGTGTTGTAAGAGCCGTCAGTCATTCTGGACGTTCCATTTATACTGGTGACCTCGCTGGGCTTCCATAGTGACCATATGTCTCCGTCTGGTGGAATCCAGCTAACAAGACCATTACCTTTGTGGTGCCCAGAGCACCTCATACCCGACAGGTTCAGTATTGGAGACATCTTAATTATTTGCATTTCAGTTTCTGTGAATAGAATGTTCCGTACTCGGGGGGGGGGTTTAGAATTTATTAAAGGGATTTCCCCCTTATGATGACTTTTTTGTTATTTATAAGTTTTCTGGTAACTTTTGATAATCCTTAGTTTTATATTTTGTATCTACCCCCTATGGCCTCCATCAGAGGAGATTCTATCCATTGTCCTGGGATCAGTCACATAGTAACTGTAATAATCCATTCGATGATTTCCTCTTCCAGATCCTCCCACTCTCTCTGAGATCACCGGAAACAATGAGCTGATTGACATGAACAGGACAACTCTGACTTGTCAGATTATGGACTTCAGACCCAACGACATAGAAATCTTTGTGTGTATGAGGAGATCTGAGGAGGAGGAGATGAGGACCATCTACACCTGGAGGTCTGGAGGTCACCCCGCTCAGGTCAGGATAAGCAGAGATGATGGTGGAGGGGATGAAGATGTGATAGATATGGAGGAGGGGAGACAACTGATGAACGGCTCTCCAAGACACGAGGACAGACCTCTACAGCTGGAGATGATTCCTATTATCAGTAAGAAGAAGCTTGGATCATGCAACTGTCAGTGTTCTCTCCATATAACTCCCAGCTATGACCTGCATAAAGGAGCGGAATTATCTGTCCATGTAAAACACCCGGCACTGACATCTCCGACCTCGGTACGCAGGACACTCAACGTCATCGGAGGTGAGACTTTTCTCTTCTACATGAAATGGATTCTTTATGATGTTCTCACATTTCTGGTCATCACTTGCAGTGATCGACCTCCTAGGGGGCAGTAGTGGGCTTGATTGGGGTGGGAAGGATCTTATTATTTCGGGGACATTTCTAGCTTGTTGGGACCCTCCCAGTGAGAAGGGCCCCCTCCTTCCTAGTACTACATAGAAAGAGGGGAGCATGGGGAGCACCAGGAACAACCATCTGAATCACGTGCACAGCTTCATGAAAACTGGAAGATGGTGTCTGGGTGAGCTGCTGAGATCACTTACATTTCAAATCCTGTTCTCACCTTTTTTCATCCTTTGTTCCCTCCCACTTCCTGTCTCCATACACCCCAGTGATGGCATTTCTTGGGGTGGGATTCCTGACGGTGACAACAGTGGACCGTGTCTGTGTCATGTGTGTGGGAACAGCCACTTCCTGTCTCCATACACCCCAGTGATGGCCCCGTGGCATTTCTCAGGGTGGGATTCCTGACGATGACAACAGTGGACCGCGTCTGTGTCATATGTGTGGGAACAGCCACTTCCTGTCTCCATACACCCCAGTGATGGCCCCGTGGCATTTCTCAGGGTGGGATTCCTGACGATGACAACAGTGGACCGCGTCTGTGTCATATGTGTGGGAACAGCCACTTCCTGTCTCCATACACCCCAGTGATGGCCCCGTGGCATTTCTTGGGGTGGGATTCCTGACAGTGACAACAGTGGACCGTGTCTGTGTCATGTGTGCAGCCACTTCCTGTGTCCATACACCCCAGTGATGGCATTTCTTGGGGCAGGATTTCTGACGGTGACAACAGTGGACTGCGTCTGTGTCATGTACGTGGGAACAGCCACTTGTATTCTCCATTTATAAAGGAGAAAAGGGGAGACTGCCCTGGGCCCCCAGACATAGAGGCCCCCTCTATACAAACCAATATACAACAATACTAAAAAATGATGAAAAAAAAATAACAAAATAATATAAATCGTAGAATAACAAAAAATGACTTTACAGGCACTTATATAACACTGTCAATGTACTCAGCGCTTTACCTGTATACTGTACATTCCCATCAGTCCCCGCCCCCGAGGGGCGTACAATCTAAGGTCCCTAACTCACATTCATACATATATGATTAACCACCCAGCATGTCTTTGGAATGTGGGAGGAGACTGGAGTACACCCACACAGGCACAGGGAGAACATGCAAACTTCAGGCAGATGGCGCTGTGGTTGGAATTTGAACCGACAACCCGAGTACTGCCAGAAGGAAGTGCTAACCACTCAGCCACTGTGCTGCCCATATTAAAAGCATCTTGGGAAGTAATGGTTTACCCTGGATTGTTACAGTTATATCATTACATAGTTAGTCTGGCTGAAAAAAAAAACACAAAAGTCCATCCAGTTCAACCATTAAAAAAAAAAAAGTTATAACTGGAAGGGGGGGAAAGTGCCCGGACTGGAAGGGGGGGAAAGTGCCCCGGACTGGAAGGGGGGGGAAAGTGTCCGGACTGGAAGGAGGGGGGGGGGGGGAAGTGTCCGGACTGGAAGGGGGGGGGGAGTGTCCGGACTGGAAGGGGGGGGGGGGGGGGAAGTGTCCGAACTGGAAGGGGGGGGGGGGGAAAGTGTCCGGACTGGAAGGGGGTGGGGGGGAAGTGCCCGGACTGGAAGGGGGGGTGGGGGGGGGGGGAAGTGTCCGGACTGGAAGGGGGGGGGGAAAGTGTCCAGACTGGAAGGGGTTAAACAAAAGTGTGACTGTCACTGAGAATGTAAACTAACACTGTGTATGGGGGACCACCCAAACCTGAAGGGCCCCGTGCCCCCGCAAGGTCTGCATGTGGCCCTATATATCACTGGGTGACAAGTCAGAGAGTTGTCACCCAATAACAGGAAGAAGGATCTTCATGGCAGGACCACCAGGAATTGTTTTTGGACTGAAAGCTGCAGATATACAATTAGAATTGCCGGGAGGGTGTCACCACGACTAGGAGGCGTTAGTGGGCGGGGTTAGGGATCCTTTCTGCATTGAGGCTTTATGTATTCACTGAACAAATGTATCCATTCTCTTACTTAGTTCCTCCCAAGTTGTTGTCCATCATGTGCCCAGAACGTGTCATCCATGAGGAGCAGCTGACACTGACCTGTCCAATCAATGGGTTCAAACCGCGAGCTTTGTCCATCACCTGGCTGAAGAGGGACAAGGACAACCAAGAGACGGATCTGGTGACATGGAATGCTGGGAGTGACACCACTCACACGGAGAGATGTTCACACTTTCTAAAGGAACATGAGTATGGTGATACCTCCTACAACTTTATCAGTGCTCTGACCATGAAACCAACAGTAACAGAAGATCACGGAGCGACTTATATCTGTAGAACCTTCCACCCTGCTACACATCACCGGGAGGAAATGGAGCAGATCCTGAATGTGACCGGTGAGTAATGACACAAGGATGGTGTTACCTTCCCCTCATTCCTGGGTGCAGGCTGGAGGGTTATCAAATCCAACCCCCCCAATCAGAGAGAAAACTGGGAGAGAAGTGTGTGGGGGGGTGTGACAGTGATCAGTATGTACAGGAGAGGAGTGTGGGGGTGTGACAGTGATCGGTATGTACAGGAAGGAGAGTGTGGAGGGTGTGTGACAGTGATCGGTATGTACAGGAGAGGAGTGTGGGGGGTGTGACAGTGATCGGTATGTACAGGAGAGGAGTGTGGGGGGTGTGACAGTGATAGGTATGTACAGGAGAGGAGGGTGTGTGGCGGAGGGGGGGGGGGGGTGACAGTGATCTGTATGTACAGGAGAGGAGTGTGGGGGGTATGACAGTGATCGGTATGTACAAGAGAGGAGTGTGGAGATATGACAGTGATCGGTATGTACAGGAGAGGAGTGTGGGGGGTGTGACAGTGATCGGTATGTACAGGAGAGGAGTGTGGAGATATGACAGTGATCGGTATGTACAGGAGAGGAGTGTGTGGGGGGTGTGACAGTGATCGGTATGTAGGAGAGAGGAGTGTGGAGGTAAGACAGTGATCGGTATGTACAGGAGAGGAGTGTGGAGGTATGACAGTGATCGGTATGTACAGGAGAGGAGTGTGGAGGTATGACAGTGATCGGTATGTACAGGAGAGGAGTGTGGAGGGTATGACAGTGATCGGTATGTACAGGGGAGGAGTGTGGGGGGTATGACAGTGATCGGTATGTACAGGAGAGGAGTGTGGAGGTATGACAGTGATCGGTATGTACGGGGAGAGGAGTGTGGAGGTATGACAGTGATCGGTATGTACAGGAGAGGATTGTGGAGGTATGACAGTGATCGGTATGTGTACAGGAGAGGAGTGTGGGGGGGTATGACAGTGATCGGTGTGTACAGGAGAGGAGTGTGGAGGTATGACAGTGATCGGTATGTACAGGAGAGGAGTGTGGAGGTATTGACAGTGATCGGTGTGTACGGGAGAGGAGTGTGGAGGTGTGACAGTGATCGGTATGTACAGGAGAGGAGTGTGGAGGTATGACAGTGATCGGTATGTACAGGAGAGGAGTGGGGGGGGGTATGACAGTGATCGGGTATGTACAGGAGAGGAGTGTGGAGGGGTGTGACAGTGATCGGTATGTACAGGAGAGGAGTGTGGGGGTATGACAGTGATCGGTATGTACAGGGAGGAGGGTGTGTGGGGGAGGGGGGGTGACAGTGATCTGTATGTACAGGAGAGGAGTGTGGAGGTATGACAGTGATCGGTATGTACAGGAGAGGAGTGGGGGGGGGGTATGACAGTGATCGGTATGTACAGGAGAGGAGTGTGGGGGATATGACAGTGATCGGTATGTACAGGAGAGGAGTGTGGGGGGGTGTGACAGTGATCGGTATGTACAGGGAGGAGTGTGGAGGGTATGACAGTGATCGGTATGTACAGGAGAGAGGAGTGTGGAGGTGTGACAGTGATCGGTATGTACAGGAGAGGAGTGTGCGGGATATGACAGTGATCGGTATGTACAAGAGAGGAGTGTGGGGGGTATGACAGTGATCGGTATGTACAGGAGAGGAGTGTGCGTGGGGTATGACAGTGATCGGTATGTACAGGAGAGGAGGAGTGTGGAGGTATGACAGTGATCGGTATGTACAGGAGAGGAGTGTGTGGAGGTATGACAGTGATCGGTATGTACAGGAGAGGAGTGTGGGAGGGTATGACAGTGATCGGTATGTACAGGAGAGGAGTGTGGGAGGTGTGACAGTGATCGGTTATGTACAGGAGAGGAGTGTGGGGGTATGACAGTGATCGGTATGTACAGGAGAGGAGTGTGTGGGAGGTATGACAGTGATCGGTATGTACAGAGGAGGAGTGTGGAGGGTATGACAGTGATCGGTATGTACAGGAGAGGAGTGTGGGGGGTATGACAGTGATCGGTATGTACAGGAGAGGAGTGTGGAGGTATGACAGTGATCGGTATGTACAGGGAGAGGAGTGGGGGGGTTGTGACAGTGATCGGTATGTACAGGGAGAGTGTGTAGGGGTTGTGACAGTGATCGGTATGTACAGGAGAGGAGTGTGGGGGGGGGTGTGACAGTGATCGGTATGTACAGGAGAGGAGTGTGGAGGTATGACAGTGATCGGTATGTACAGGAGAGGAGTGTGGAGGTATGACAGTGATCGGTATGTACAGGAGAGGAGTGTGGGGGTTGTATGACAGTGATCGGTATGTACAGGAGAGGAGTGTGGGGGTTATGTGACAGTGATCGGTATGTACAGGAGAGGAGTGGGGGGGGTTGTGACAGTGATCGGTATGTACAGGGGGAGGAGTGTGGGGGTATGGTATGACAGTGATCGGTATGTACACAGAGAGGAGTGTGGGGGGTATGACAGTGATCGGTATGTACAGGGAGGAGGAGTGTGGAGGTATGTGACAGTGATCGGTGTGTACAGGGAGGAGGAGTGTGGAGGTATGACAGTGATCGGTATGTGGTAGGTACAGGGAGAGGAGTGTGGAGGTATATGACAGTGATCGGTGTATGTACAGGAGAGGAAGTGTGGTGGGGTGTGTGTGACAGTGATCGGTATGTACAGGAGAGGAGTGTGGAGGTATGACAGTGATCGGTATGTACAGGAGAGAGGAGTGGGGGGGGTATGACAGTGATTGGTATGTACAGGAGAGGGTGTGTGGGGGGGGGGGTGACAGTGATCGGTATGTACAGGAGAGGGTGTGGGGGGGGTGTGACAGTGATCGGTATTATGTACAGGAGAGGAGGAGTGTAGGGGGTATGACAGTGATCGGTATGTACAGGAGAGGGGGGTTGGGTGGGGGGAGGGGGGGAGGGGGAGGGGGGGGGTGACAGTGATCTGTATGTACAGGAGAGGAGTGTGGAGGTATGACAGTGATCGGTATGTACAGGAGAGGAGTAGGGGGGTATGACAGTGATATTGGGTATGTACAGGGAGAGGAGTGTGGGGGGGAGGTATGACAGTGATCGGTATGTACAGGAGAGGAGTGTGGGTGGGGGTGGACAGTGAGTGGTATGTATGTGTACAGGAGAGGAGTGTGTGGGTATGGACATGTGACAGTGGTAATGGTATGTACAGGAGAGGAGTGTGGAGGTGTGACAGTGATCGGTATGTACAGGAGAGAGGAGTGTGGGGGGGTGTGGTGTGATCGGTATGTGTGTACAGGAGGAGGTGGAGGGGATATGACAGTGATATGGGTTATGTACAAGGGGAGGAGTGTGGGGGGGGGGGTATGTGACGGGTGATCGGTATGTACAGGAGAGGAGTGTGGGGGGGTATGACAGTGATCGGTATGTACAGGAGAGGAGTGTGGGGGGTATGACAGTGATCGGGTATGTACAGGGGGGGGGGGGGGGGAAGTGGGGAGGGTTAATGACAGTGATCGGTATTATGTACAGGGAGGAGGATGTGGGGGGTATGACAGTGGATCGGTATGTACAGGAGAGGAGTGTGGGGGGGTATGACAGTGATCGGTGTGTACAGGAGAGGAGTGTGGGGGGTATGACAGTGATCGGTATGTACAGGAGAGGAGTGTGGGGGGACATGTGGACAGTGATCGGTATGTACAGGAGAGGGCTGGTGGTGTTGGAGGGGTATGACGGGGGTGATGGGGTAGTGTGTACAGGAGAGGAGGTGTGGGGGGTATGACAGTGATCGGTATGTACAGGAGAGGAGTGTGTGGGGGTATGACAGTGATCGGTATGTACAGGAGAGGAGGAGGGGGGGTGATTTGATGACAGTGATGATCGGTATGTACAGGAGAGGAGTGTGGGGGTATGATGAGGTGATCGGTATGTACAGGATCAGGAGGGAGTGTGGGAGGTATGACAGTGAGTGGATGTACAGTGGAGGGGAGTGTGGAGTGTGGGGTGTGACAGTGATCGGTATGTACAGGAGAGGAGGTGTGGGGGGGGTATGACAGTGATCGGTATGCGTACAGGAGAGGAGTGTGGGAGGTATGACAGTGATCGGTATGTACAGGGAAGGGGGTGGGAGGTATGACAATGATCATGTGGGGTACAGGAGAGGAGTGTGGGGGGGGGGGACAGTGATCGGTATGTACAGGAGAGGAGTGTGGGGGGTATGACAGTGATCGGTATGTACAGGGAGAGGAGTGTGGAGGTATGACAGTGATCGGGTATGTACAGGAGAGGAGTGTGGGGGTGGTGTATGACAGTGATGGGGGTTGTACAGGAGAGGAAGTGGAGGTGGGGGAGGTGTATGACAGTGATCCGGTATGTACAGGAGAGGAGTGGTGGGGGGGTATGACAGTGATCGGTATGTACAGGAGAGGAGTGTGGGGGGTTGGTAGGTATGACAGTGATCGGTATGTACAGGGAGAGGAGTGGGGGGGTGACAGTGATCGGTATGTACAGGAGAGGAGGTGGGGGAGGGGTGGTGACAGTGATCGGTACATGTACAGGAGAGGAGTGTGTGGGGGGTGTGACAGTGATCGGTACGTACAGGGAGGAGTGGGGAAAGAATGGGGGGGGGGGGTGACAGTGATCGGTATGTACAGGAGAGGAGTGTGGGGGGTATGACAGTGATCGGTATGTACAGGAGAGGAGTGTGGGGGGTATGATGACAGTGATCGGTGTGAGTCGTACAGGAGAGGGGTGTGGGGGGGTATGTGGGGGTGATCGGTATGTACAGGAGAGGAGTGTGGGGGGTGGATTGACAGTGATCGGTATGTACAGG